AACAATCAAAATCAAGAAAACGAATGGTTTGGTAAGAACTCTAATGAATGTACGTCATATTCCAAGTGTTAAAAAGAATGTGATCTCAGTGGGGGCATTGGATTCCAAGGGTTGTTGATGTGAAGTGAATAATAGATTGATGAAGATTAAAAGGGGGCACGTGTTATGCTTTGGGGAAGGAATGTGAACAATCTCTATACTTTGTTGGGAAATACTATGCTAGGTGGAGCAATTGCAAAGACATAATGGAAGCCTGTTTCGAGATCTACTTGAGTGGAGGACCAAGAGCAGCAAGAGAAGGAAGAAGTCTTAGCAATTGCAAAAGTACCAACCTTTATTACAGAAGTAAGAAAAGTTCGATTTGGTGATGCAAAAGTATATTCTAAATTTAATTATTTGAGCTTGGAATTTGTTATGAATAGATGAGGATGGTGGTATGACAAAGAAAGACAAAAAGGAAAAAGATGTTAGGCAAGATTTTTTGATCGAGGTGGAGCTATAGAAGAGTGCATGATAGATTTCAAGTCAAAGTGGACATTTTTGAGTTTGTGGCTCTAAATTTGTGTGCAAAAACTAGTTTAGATACTTTTATTTTAAAGTTGTAACTGATATGTGCAATTATTTCACTATTATGAGTTTACTTTCGGTTGCAGGACTGACTCTTTCTGTATTTACCCACTCGTAAGAGTTGAAAAAAGATGCCCTTAAGTGTCAATTTCATGAATTTTCTAACGTTTGTTTAGAGCTTAATACAATGTCTTTTAATCTATTCCTACTTATTTATTTATTATTTTATTAATATTCTATCTCCATTTTTTCTTTTCCTTCAAACTTTGCCTTTTCCACGTGCAATGAGAACATTATTTAACATTTTTTAATCCATTCTTTAACAACTTTCAAAAAACATGATGAAATAAAGCTAAAGCAAGTAAAAGTGAGGATTTCTCTATAACACGTGAGAATAATGCAACAAATGGTAAAGCAATAAATGTGTTTATTATAATCTAATCACTGCGTGCATTAATCAAATGGGTAAAGCTAAAAAAAAATTAAAGCTTGTTAACGTAAAATCACTTGATTATCCAGCACTTTAAGAATCAAATGTGTTCCAAGCATGGAATGGAATATTAGTTTTTTTTGAAAAAAAAAATTAATTATAAGACACCAATCATATACTCCAAAATATCTGTGCTTTGAAAAAAATAAAGAGTTAAAATTTGCACTAAATTTTTTCGAATTTCAATTTTAATGCATCAATTCGATACTTCCAAACATAAAATATTGTAATTAAACTTTCATGCTCTTTCTTCTGTCACGGCAACACCAACAAAATCATTATTCCAAAACTAAGACATTCATGAGGATTAAAGAGAAGTTTTGAGTCAATTTGGAAGATAATTTCTGCATTTAGATGAATGAATACACTACTACCTCAAGTGTCTCTTTCTTTTATGAGTTTCTTTGTAGGAGAAGGCATCAAATATATGGGAGTTTCTTTGTAGGAGAAGGCATCAAATATATCTCTTCTTGTTTTCATCTTATGTATCAATTTTTTTTATTCATTTACTATTTTTTGAATCTATAACCATAAGAAAAATAAATTTCTTTTTTTCTTCTATATAATTTTCTTTATTTTTCCAGGCACTGCAATAAGCATATACTTAGCATTCTAGCTTCAGCACTGCACGAGTCAATACGCACAACGCCTGCACCTAATATCCGTCGTTTACAGCTAGGACTACTGGGCTGTAAACTACCCGTCGTTTACAGCTAGGACTACTGGGCTGTAAACTACTGGGGTGCCAAATCCCATTCGCTCCCCTTGCTTTCATCTCTCAATGTCAATGTCTGCCCAGCAGAGTGCTTTTGCCATTGGTGTTCGTTCCGATCTCTACACATACATTACACCGCTCCACCGGATATTCCCTCTACCCCTACCATACACCAGCTTGGTAGTTTCCACGCCCTACCCAGGGTTGAGCCCTGAGATATGATGGCGGACTTAAAAACCCACCTCCACCAAGTCAAAAGTATTCCACATAAAATGACAATAAAGCTGAAACCCCCTCCCCTTGTCACATAACAAGCTATTTCAGGTAAGCACCCAGTGCAAATCCAGTTTCAGTAGAATAACAAATGTCCAAGAATCACATTAAGCAGAACCAGAAAACACAATAAGAATTACCATATATCACTCTACTACTCTACATGAATGGAGCTTTATTTATGTGACTATCAGCAAATTTTTAAGGAAATCTTCAATGATACTTCTTAAACTTCATTTAAAAAATAAATAAATAATAAAAATAAAAATAAAAAAGGGGATATTCCCGTATACATTGCACATAGACATCCTCTCCAACTAGAAAGTAGAATCCATTTCTTCAATAACATATTCCTGCACACATTGCACATGGACATCCTCTCCAACTAGAAGCCATTTCTTCAACGACAACAAACAAATACAAGAAAATATTAGAGGGGAAATTGGGAAAAGAAACCATTAATGTGACACTTTCTAGACACGTTACCTTACAAAATTCTCCACCAAAAAGATAAACAATTAACACGGTCAGTTTCCACCCTCTGAATTACCATGTATGCCCGGGTGGACATCCTTGTCAATGGGCCAGAATATGTTACTTGAAGAAATGACAAAACAAACAACACGAGAAAAATACATATAGAAAGTCCAAATGGCCAATGAGTACATGTGAGGCACAGGGATAAGCGAGTAACAAATGGTCTGTTCTTGACATCTTGTACATCTTACTTGACCATGACATCCAACTGGTATTTATCCACATTCTTGATATCAACAGACATGCAAGGAGTTTCCATCAAAGACGCAAGCCACACGGAGAACGCCTTAAAGCAAACAGAAAGAGCCCAAATAGTTTAGTAAGAAAGGCCAAGGCACTGCCGAGCAGATCAAGCAAAGCGGAGCAGTGGCAGCAAACGCCCTCAAATATACGGGAGTCACCTCAAAAATTGGATCCCAGGGGTAGAGTAAAATGACCTATAACTAACAGAAACAATTGCTAATGGTCAAGGCACCACATTTTATATCCATAAACTCTCGTTTCCATTGTTGGTGATCTGAAACTCAAACAGAAGAATAATTCTAAACATGCAATGAAAAGACATCGTGTACGAGAAGACAAGCCAACAATATGAAATTGCATGCAAGGGAATATGCATCCACTGATGAGAATCTCTCTAAAACAATGAAATCATGGAAAATTGTTAGCAGTAAACAAGTTAAATCAATTCATCCTTCATCTAAACCTATAAGAGTCACAATAACTGATGGACAAACTTTAGAAGCAACAACAGTAATAAAACGAACTTTAACAAGTTAAAATGAGAATATTAGTTGTACCCATCTTCTAAAAACTATAAATTCCAAGAGCAGCGAAGGTGTACCTATAAAAACACAACTCCTCTTCCAAGCTCAAACAAATAATGACGACTTTCAAATCTTCATCACATGGGAACTAATTGAGGTGAAAGACGGGAGCCATATAGATGAGGCAAAGAGAGATGCAATTGTCTGTCATCCAAAAACCAAACCTTCCACTTCTTACTTGAATCTGAGGACAAATTAAAAATCACAAGCCTTGTCAACATCAAATTAGTTGGATGTCTTGTAAAGGAGAACCTTTGCAGATATGAACCAGAAATTCTCACATGGTAACAGCAAATGCAGGCACAGTAAGATGATCTGTGGGAAAAAAAATAAATATGATTTCCAAAATTTGAAATTATACTCTGAAATCGAAGCTGGCCATGTTGGAGGCTTCAAAAAGAGACTAAGCATCTTTATTTTAAGCTACTTTTCAGAAAATAAAAAATAAAAACTTTATTTTAAGCTACTTTTCGAAAGAAAAATAAATAAATTTATTTTAAGCCACCAATTACATAATTAAATTTAGGTCTGCATACATCCAGCTGATCAAAACAAAAGCGCTTTTTAGATCCTACAACTCGATCTTTTTTTATTTTTACTTTTACAATTCAGTTCAAAACTTAACCAATGATTTCAATATTGAAACTTCTCCCCAAGGAAACCTAAAAATTTATATGCAGATATAACCTATGAATTTAGTTAGAAAATGTCAAAGATTTCAATTAAAATCTCCCCCCCTCCCTCTCTCCAAAGAGTGGAACTCCTTTTTCAGTTAACAATGGCAATAGTCAAAGAAGTGGACGCATACTCTCTCGAGAGTTTTAGCGGCTGTTGCCAGACCAACTGGCAAGCTATCCAATAGAGAAGAACGTACTTCTCTGCTAACTCTTTGATGTCATACTCGGCCGGGTTACCGTGCAAAGTCAAATACGCAATAATTCGAGCACCGGGAAGTTCTAAAACATCACGTGGCCCGTCTTCAAACAAACTACAAATGCAAAAAGTGTAGAAATTGATATATGTTTGTGTAATCTGCAAATATAATTATAAAAAAAGGAAACTACCTCATTAAACAATTGATATGAATAGTACAGTTGTGCTCAAAGAAGACCAATAAACAAAAACATGACTTTTTCTTCTAGAAAGAGAAAACGGAAAGCACCGGCACAAACATAATGGTGATGAAATAACCTTCCTTTGCGGAAGCTGTATATTACTGTCAACATTTCTTGGCTAACCAACGAAAAGAGCAATAAGAAATAAACAAACACAAAGCAACAATTTTAAAATTAAAAAAAAAAAATTCCAAAACTAAAAGCACCATCACAAACATGCAATCAACACTCAACTGATCTAGCCTCTCCACACAAGTTGTATCTTACCATCAACATTAACTGATTAAACAATTAAAAGATCTGTAAAAAGAAGAATAACCACATAAAAAACCACATTATTTCATACAGGTTCAAAAACTGAAAGGACCAGCCATCAATACCAATCACCTGATCCAGTTTGCCCATGCTCAAGTTGTATTTCAACTAAAAGAGCAATGAAAAAAAAAACGCATACAAATAAATCTACAAGAGCCAAATACAAACCAAAAATTCCTTTATTATAACTCAAACCCAAATTGTAAGAACAGATCATAAATAAAACACTAACAACAGAAGCAATAAAGACATTGATAAGCAGTAATTCAAATTTGCCTAAATAGCTATGAAACACATCCTTTTAAGGATAAAATTCCATGGATATAGAGGACCACAAAGAGGTACCCATAAATCAAGAGGAGCCCAGTGATTCAAGTATAGAGAGGCCAATCCGTCCACGCCCCGGAAACATGCCCATTCTCACAGACATAAGCTCGAACAACTGGCTCCCCATCATCATGAAACCCAAAAACCCTCTTCAAACAGAATGCGGAATGCAGATCCCAAGTCTGCCTGCACGAGCAAAACGCACACTTCACATCAATTTTGTTCCGATTCCCATCATTTATCGTCCTCCAAACCCGAGAGCGCTTGAAATTCTTGAAAATTCCCCTAAAAAGCATATAATTTCGCTTCTCTTCAGTGTGCACACAACCAGGCCAATCACAAATGTAGAGACAATCCCCTCTGAATCGACTCGCCAACAACTTGTTCCCTTGTTCACGATTCAAATTCCAAACCGCAGAAGCTACATGAGACCTATGAGATCTGCAAGTTTTTCTTCTCTTACCCACAGCAAAATCAGCAACAGCTTTGACAACACCACCACCACCACCACCACCTCCACCACCACCATCACCTTCTTGGGACTCTTTGGGCAGTTCAAGTCGATCTTGAGATTCAGAGGCATTGTAAACAGTATCAAAGTAAAGATCATCGTATAAGGACCAAGAAACATTATTGACCTCTGAATTACCACCACTTTCGCTCGAAGATGGTAACAGATCCAATTGAAACAACTTGGGTTCCTGGTAATTCTCATCAGGGCCGAGCTCGCGCTCGAGACCGAAATCGGAGTGTTCGAGGAGGACTCCGGCGTGAAGGAGGCCGGGACAGCACACACCGAGTTTGTGGAGGGAGGCCCAGCCGCCGGGCGGGTCGGCGCCGGCGGCGGAGAGGAGATCGGAGACGACGGAGGGAATGGCTTGAGAGCACTTGTTTTTCCAACAGACGTTGCGAATTAGAGACGAGAATCTGGTGGAAACACAAGCGAGCCTCGACCAGGTCCGAGGATCGTCTTCTAGCTTAAAGAATATGTTGAGAACAACATCATCTGAGAGCTTTGAAAACTCAGTTTCGATCATTGTCATCGTTAAACACAAATTGGGTGGTTAATTCAGAAACCCAAATCAATTAACACAAATTGGGTGTCAATTGATTAAAATGGAAAGATCAAAACATCAATTTGTTCTTCTAAAAAGCAAAAAAAAAAAAAAAAAAAATGAGAAATGTTACTCTTGGTTTTCTGATCAATTTTGAGAGAGATGAGAGAGAGTGTTTGAGAACTGAGGTCCGGGAGTGTTGTGGTTTTATGGTTTTTGGGACCGATTGTCGGGTGGTTGTGGTTGGATTTCGATTTGGAATTTGGTTGCTGTAGCAAGCTGCGAATCACACGTTGCGATTTCAATTTCTTTATTAGATATGAGCTTGTTGTCCAACTACCAATTTGAATTTACTACTACTAATTTATACAACTTTATTTTGTACTTTTCTTTTTCTCAATCGGTCATGTTTTTTTACTTAGTAACATAGAATGACGTTTGCTTAGACTTTCTCATTTTGAGATAAGCATGAAAAAATTGACCTTAATAATGTATGCATAAAGTGACGGCTACATGATTCTATCTAGCTATCTTTCTATAATATCTAATACTCATCCATCCCATAAAAAATTATCCCTTTTTGAAAACTGAACTTTTTTTTTCAGATAGTAATTTTTAATGTTTTGATTCACATATTTTTATAACTTTAAGGGGGTTAAATTATGAATGTTAAATATATATATATATAGTAGATTAAATTTTAAATTGAAACAATTATTTTTGAATAATAATTATTTTTATTTTTTAGATAAATTAGAGAGAGGAGGACTCAAATAGGGGCACACTCTTTTAAAGACCTGAATGTTCTACAAACTAGATCATTGAGTAATATGCACAATCAATAATAAAAAAAGTAAACACATTTTTGTGGGACCGAGTAGCAAGTTACATCACCTTAAGTTTGCTAGATATTGTGGTAGAAGGAAATGGAAGTCCAAAAGGGGCTTTTGGTCCACTGTAAGGCTCCGTTTGGATTGAATGATTTGAAAACATTTGGAAAGAAAAAGAAAAAATGATATTATGAAATGTGTTTGGGTTATCAAAAAAATGAAGAAGAAGAAGAAGAAAAGAAAGAAGAAGATTAGTAGATATTTGGAGAGTAGATATTTGGAGGGAAAAGATAGTGATTAAGTAATACTTTCATAATTCAATTACCTTCAATATCTCCCAAAAATGAAAAGATTTGGAGAGAAAAAATAGTGGTTAAGTAATACTTTCATAATTCTGAAACTTATCCTCAACAATTAAAAGAATAAACTTGTTATGATACTTGAGTTAAATCTTATAAAAGGGTATAATAGTAACTTAGTTGTTATCCTTTCTTTTTTTTTCTCTGCTTTACTTTTTTTCCGAACGAGAAGGATGTCATTTTCTTTCTTTTCACCAAACATGAATAGAGATTATGATATCATTTCTCTTCGTTTCTTTGTTTATCCAAACAAAGCCTAAATGCTTCCCAATTTACATATAGTCTCACGAAGGTAAGGCTGCAATGTAAAAAGCTCCAGATTTTGTAATTGGCAAGAGCCTTGTACACTAAATTAGCTCTTTAATTATAAAGATCACCTATCTTCCATATCTTCAAAAATAAAAGGTAAGGATCAAGTCTTATTGAGGATAAATAAGTGTGTGAGTAAGATTGCAAATGAATCAATATGTTCATTGTACTGACCCGGTCATTTTCCTCCTTTTTCCTTTTTCGGTGATTTTCTTTTTTCATCTTTTTCCTATTTTGTCTTTTCTTTATTTCGTTTTTTTTCCCGTTATTCATTTTTCCTTACATAACCTCATTTTTTGTACTCGAATTTGATTCCAATTTTGCATACATCCATGATAATTGATTTCCATGATATTTGTATTTTTACTTTCGTAGAAAATACATTCTAGTTACTTGCTTTTTCGTAAAGGGCATAGGTGCATACTTTATTGTAATTATTCTTAATTTTTAGGGTTTTAGTGTAATTATGTAAAATAATTAGTTTTCGTCTTAGGAACCTTTTTACAAATTAATTTGTAAGATATTTTGAAAAATGACCTTTTTGTAATTTTTGAAAAAATGTGACAAGTGTCACATTCTCATGGTACCACTTGTTGGCAATGGAGTGGAGTGACTTGAATGCATTATCTCTTGACATTTGGAGGGTAGAGATTCACCCACTTGTTGGCCTAAGATAGGTGCACTTGTTAGCTTAGATGGTTGACAAGTGTAGGCTTAAGATTAAGCCTAGGAATGAGCCATTGATTTGTGACAAGTGTAGGTACCAAAATAAGTATTGCATTGTGTGTGTGTGTGAGGTAGTGTAAGAACACATAGTGAGTGGAGGATTTCTAGACTTTCCACTCACCATTTTACACTTTATCTTTTTCATTTCATTTGTTCTTCATAAACCTAAACCTAGCCACCATTGGAGAAAAGCTTGGTTAATAGCTTTGTTCTTCATTTTGGCCTCCTTCTATTCACCTTAGACTTAAAACCTTGGGAGACAAAAGTTTCCTCTTACTCTTCTCTTCAAAACCTTATTATTGTTTTCCATTTTTTAGCTTGGTCGCTTGGATTATAGAGATTCAATTCTCTATTGAGGTAAGGGTGGTAGTATATTTATATTCTAAGTGTTTTATAATCCTTTGGGGTTTAATATATATTGTGTACATGCTTTTAAAATTGTAGTATTGCATATTATAGGAAATCTTTATGATTGGCTTAGGATTTATTGAATTAAGCATGTATATTGTGTATGTATCTTGAATAGGATTATTAATGTTGTATAGAACTCTTATTGATTTGAATTACTATATTATTGTGATGTTAATCCAACATCCTAGTTGATTACTATTAGTAAATGTTATTATTTTAGAAGCTTGTACTATAATGTTATAATCTAGTATATAAAACTTATTGTTGAGGCATGATTTAAAATGATAAGTTAGTGGTATGGTATTGTGCATAATATCATGATGAGGACTTGTTATTTGGTATGTTATTCCCTAACACATGGTTTGTGTGGTTTCAAAATACTTGTGCATGGAAGGTGGTTTATATGCCTTAATTATAGTGTGTGAGTTTTAAACTTGATTATGATTTTAGATTCTCTTGAGACATTGTTACAAGTGATATGGTTAGAGTTTGGCTCTAGTGCGAGAGGTATGAGTTCTCCCCAATTGAGATAGTGCGCACTAGGATGGTCTTCCCAGTGGGTTAATATCCGGAATAACTATTTTGATCTTGGTTTAGTCCGAGACGTGATGTCCAAGTCTTCTACTAATTGATTTCGCATTCAATTCCACGTTGACAACCAATGCTTAATTGTAACTTGTAATTTTTGTTATTGGTGAATTGATGTTGTTAAGTACATTGATGTTGATATGTATTGTTAAGGAATCATTGCATTAGTTTAAGATGATCCCTTAGAACACCTTGAACATAGACGTTAAGTGGAATGATCCCTTGTATTCGTCTATATTGATCTTGCAATGATATTAAAATTTTAAGATATACGCATATGCTTCTTCCTACGAGTAATTTGATTACTCACCCTAGTGGTTTGGGTTGTTTTACAGGTAAGGAGACTATGCTCTTAGATGCTCATCATCCTTAGGGACTTATGAGCAATTTGAAGCATTTTTGTATATTAACATGCAAGTGTTTAGCATGCTTTATTTTTTATGTTATATTTTTGCATACCATGAATGTATGGTATTTTGGAAACTAATGTAACTTCCTTGATGTGTAATGATACTTAAGTATTCACTTTTGACATTATAAGCATGTTTACTTTAGTACTTGTGTTCATTTGGTACTAAACTTTGCTACAAAAATGTATTTTATCCAATGGGGATTTGACATGTGAAATCTTTATAATTAACATGTATAAGGCCATAGGTTGTTGTAATACATTCATTTATTCATTTCAAGGTTGTTGACATGCTCACATACTCAAATCTCATTGAAAAATCAGTTTTAAACTTCATTTTTAAACCAATTCATGAGGGGATTTGAAGTATGGGTTAAACCTTAACACATTGGGCATATAACAGGTCTTACAGCAGGTTTTCAAGGTGTTTTCGGTCGACTCATGGCTTTTGGAAGCTTCAATGCACAGTAAATCATCAATTCCAGTAGGCTTTTTCACTGTTTAGGACCATTTCAGTTGACCGATGGCCTATTTCGGTCGACCGATGGCCCAATTCAGTCTACCGAACCAACCTTACCTTAAAATCATGATTTCAACAAAGTTTCTGTGAGTTTCGGTCGACCGAAATAGTCCTCATGCACCTACCTTCCAGGATTTGTTTCAACACTGAAGTTCTAACTTTAAAGGGTCATAACTCCTTCATTTCTAATCCAAATGGGGTGATTCTTGAGCCTAAACTCAAGGATTTTGAGTCAAATTTCTAATGGTACCTATGTCATTCTCATATTCCAATCACAGTGGGAGTTATTCATGTTTTAGTGAGGTAGTGTCAGTTTTTGCTTAAACCGGGAAAAGGCATTTTGTGGGATTCTTGTCCAAAGTTCTTAGAACCTCTTGGAATAATGTGAAATGATTAGATTAGGTTGCATTCAACTTGTTTGACTTGTTTAGAGTCAATTTTCTCCTTTTAATTGTGAATTGACCATTTTGCCCTTAATTAATGGATTTAGCCCGTTTTAACTCTAGTTTCCTCTTTTGTTCTCCTTAAGTTCCGTGACATCATGAAATGTCACATTGGTGCCTTAAAGATGATTTATATCTCAAAGGACTATGGTTTCATCTTTTGCTTCCGCATTTTGGACCCGTTACCAGGTTAACTTTCGGGTCATCACTGATGCACCGGGTTGAAAAACTTGGGCCGTTACATTCATGAATAACTTGGACTTGGCTTATCTAAGGTTCGACTTGGGTTCATTCTTAAGCAAATAAGCCGAGTTTGAACTCAATTTCTAGACTCATTTAGTAAACGAGTCGATCCGGAACATTATTAGGTTCGGCTCGTTTAGGTCGTAAGTATGAGCTTGTGTAGATTTGTATATGTTTATGAACGTAGTCTCATACAAACTCGTGATCACGTTCAAAAAATATAGGATTGTGCAAGCTCATATAAGTTTATTAACAAGCTAAAATGATCGTGAATATGAACTCAAATTGAGCTCAAACGATTTTTGTTATTAAACAAGTTGAGCCCAAACTAAGCTCGAGCTTTTCAAAATAATAAGAAGTCAAGCATGAACTTAGCTTTTCAAGCTCATTACGATCCCAAGTTGAGTCCATAAATGAACAAACTGAGCCTAAACAGATTCAAGTTCTGATTCAGTTCGATTCATTTGCAGCCTTATGTGTGAATTGTCAATCTGCCACTGGCCTATTGTAATTTTTTTTTTTTTTTTTGGCATAAGGTACTAAGTTTTATAATTGAAGTTAGTCTCTCGTCCATTGTTATTGTGGTAGAGAGAGAGAGAGAGAGAGAGAGAGAGTTAAGGATAGATGGGGATGGGAGGTAAAAACAAGGAATGATGAGTTCATGCAGAAGTCGCGATGAATCCGATGAGAGAGTTAAGGATAGATGGGGATGGGAGGTAAAACAAGGAATGATGAGTTCATGCGGAAGTCGCGATGAATCCGATGATATTGACACTCCAATAAAATGTATCATAATTTTTTTAGTAGTTATTAGATGATTCTCACCATTTATACTCGGTGAATTAATCAAATTCAGATACTCTAATAAGAAAATGGCAATATTAATTTTTATTGAATTCATTCATTAAGTGTCAAATTTACCACTATCATTTAATTATTTAATAATTCTTTGTGCTTTTATGTGTATATGTATCAATCAAATGCAAATGAATGGCTTTGATAGCAATTGTTTACGGCACTTTTTGAAAAAGAAATCTGGTAAAATTAAAAAAAAAAACATAGAGGAGATATCATAAGGAACTAGACAAAATCTGGTAATTAAGGGCATTATATAATACATGACCCAAAAACAGGCAAATCCCAAGAGAGAGATCTTATTAAAAGTACAAAAGAATAAGTTATTGGGTGAAGTAAAAGAATAAAATAAGAAAAAGCCATCCCCGGCTGTACACAATCAAATTAAGTGAATCTAGAGAGAGAGAGAGATTGAAAGGCGTGAACAAGGAAGATTCATTCCATTAATGGACAGTGGTAGTGGCAATGTATAAGGACCCAATTCCAATTTAGGTCTATTGATTGACGGAACTGACCTTGGAGACCTAAACAAGGAATCTCCACTCTCTGGGTCTACTTTTCCCCGCCAATAAAACGAATGGACATGCTTAAAGTGGAACTATAGCCACACAACGAGGACAACTCATTGAGGACCACTACTACTATATGTATATTATGTCTTGTCACATTACAATTTTTTTTTTTTTTTTCGGGAGGTCTTGTCACATTACAATTTGTGTGGGCGTTCCACGTTCCTCTTATCATCTTGTCTCCCCTAACACAATTGGTGGAGAATTAACATTTACAAAAACGAGTCACCCTTGAATCAACTTATTTGATTGACTAAGGTGTCATTAGTCTCTTTATATATATATAATATTTATTTAATGCAGAATGACATATTAAATCATTTCAGAGAAACTTTACAAAATTCGTTTTGATGGTTCAGTGAATTAATACTTTTAATAAATTTTAAAATATTAAATTTTAATTTTTTATATTTATTAATTTAACTTCAAACCTTTCTTACTTATAAAAAAAAATAATAATAAAAAAAAATTAGAGGCCACCTCGAGATTAATACCCCCGTTTGATAAGGAGGAAAAGGGGTGGAGAAAAGTGAAGGAGAAAAAAGATAAACTTCTTTCATTCTTTATAAATTTTCATCTCTTCAAATATGAACGAAAACGCGAAGGAAAAAAGACAGGGTTATTATAAAAAAAATTTAAAAGATTAATTTCACTAACACTCTTTCAGGCTTGGTCAAATATTACTTTCAAACATCTTTTAAAAATAACTATCACTCATATTACAAATTTTTGTTTCGTTTTTCACTCACACCCTAATCGTTACTTGCACAGTTTTGACACAATATAAAATAACTTAAATATCTTTTGACTTTGTCAAAACAACTCTTTAACTTAAATAATTGGATAAAAAGACAAAATATCCCTAAATATTTAGTTTATAAATTTACAAATCATATTATATATTTTTATTGTTTCTTATGTTATATATATATATATATATATATATATATATATTATACTCCCTTTGTCTAAAAAAGAATGTCTATTTTGGGGAGTAAAAATTTTTAAGAGCACATGTGGGCCATGTATTGTTTCCCTCAAAGTTACTAACTTGCCCTTTAGATTTTAAATATTTAAGTTTCAAATTTTAAATTCCAATGACATATATGAAAAGATGTAAAATATATTGTTTGAAAAAGGAAAGTGGACATTTATTTTGAGATGGCCCAAAAATAAAAGATTGACATTTTTTTGAAACAGATGGAGTATATATGTTATCTTTTCGCTGAATCGATGAATGCACTTAAGAAAGGGGGAGAGTCAAGGTTTAGAAATAGAGAGTCTTCATCTAGGGAAGTGAGAGACAAGATAAAAGAAGAGATGAAGAGTCTAAAGAAATTAAGATTAAATGTCATGTGGTGGTATAGGTCATACATCAACAGTTTGTCCAAGTCCTAAAAATAACTTTGTAGCTAAGAAATAGTCCAAAAATAGAAATAAGGGAAAGTACGCCGGTGGTGGTGATAGGTGGGTTTAATAATGAGAATATAATGGTCATTTAAGTAACTTGGTATTCAGGAATAAATGAGATTAAAAAATTAGAGGTAAAGTTATCTTTTTAATGTTTTTAACGAAGATTGTGATGGAAAAGTAAAAATGGACCTAAGTGATAGTTATTTTCGACAGATATTTGAGAGTGATATTTGACCAAACCTGATGGAGTATCAATGAAATTAACCCAAAATTAAATTACAAAACTTTACTTATAACTGACACTCTCTTCTCTTTTCTTCTCTCCTAACAAACAAAACAAGAATTATTTCATTTTCTTATGTTCTATCCAACCAAACAAAAAGAGAGAATGACACAATCTCTCTCTTCTCTTTTCTTCTCTCCTAACAAACAAAACAAGAATTATTTCATTCTCCTATGTTCTATCCAACCAAATAAAAAGAAAGAATGACACAATCTCTACCCTATGTATGGCTCATTTATCTATTCTTCTCTCCCCTCCTACCAAATAGAGCGCTTTTAACAATAAAATTGTCACAATGTAAATAAAAAAAACTTTGTTACGTGTTTGTTTGCATTTAGTAATGCATTGTATAGAACACTTTTTATTCCTAAAGCACTTCAAATTTTGTTTAACAATATTAATTAAAACACTTCAATTAATATTCATGATATTAATATTAAAATATCCATTCATATGGATCTTATTAACATGTATTATACTTAATATATGAGTATACATCTCTATAGTATGGCATGATTAGCTTTAAATTGAGCAATTTCTTTAAAAAAGAAATAATTATTATTACTTAGATTGTCAATGCACTTTCAGAAAATCTCTACCACCTAAAAAAATGTATTATTCTTTTCGTTCTTTTTCTGACCAACCAATATTTTATTAAATGAAAGGAATTAGCCTCTCGAGTCCCTTGTACTGCTCCAAATTACATTCTTAAAAACTTAAAACCTCAACTACTTTGTAGCGTAATGTGGTCGCTAAATGGTGATTGATACCATAAATCAAAGCCCTAGAAAATGAGTCCAAACGATGCACATGAGTTAGTAAAGTCCACGCCTACACATCTATCCATCTAGCCAATCCATACAAATATATCTTCCCTCCAAAAAAGATTTATCATTTCAAAATAAAAAGAGGCGTAAGCCACTAGCATTTTTCATATTAAAAAAACATTGACTTCCCTTAACTCAAAAGAATAAACCAAAAGAATTCATTAAATAAATAAATAAATTATTGAATCACTGCCCAAGAAAGTGATTTTCCCACTGTCAAGTGAAGACCCCCGAGGGTCTATTCCAAGTATTTTCTCCTACATAGAAGGTTGAAGGTTTCGAGCCTCGAAGTAAACAGATGAGAGTGATTTGTCTAACCAAGAGTAAAATTAAAAAGATAAAAACAAGTTAAATCATTGCGCAAGAGACTAAGATGATATATGAATCCGATCCAAGATATATTTTGCTAGCATAAGACTAACCTAGGTAAAACTAGAGCAATCAACAACTCAACATCTTAACCTAAGATAATAGTTTAGTCTTTTGCAAATCCTGCAACGCTGAAAGGCATGCAATAAACTTGGTAGTATCTAAGTTCTGGTTTAACAAGAGAATTTCAAGAGTCAATTCAAAAAACACACATTAAACTGTTCCAAGTCCACCCATTCTCCAATCAAAGTCTGATGGTAATAGATATTCCGCAGCTACCACACAGAAGTAAAGCTTAACGAACAAACAAGGCAATCTCACCGTCTTTCACAGCTTCTGAAGCCAATGGATCAAGCGAGATCAAAATTCACCTGTTGAACACAATTGCAATCAGATGATAACACATTCACCAAGAAGCCAAGGAATATAACATTAACTAAGAGGAAAGGTACCGGGACAGGCTCCGGCTCCGGCTCTTGCTCCGGCTCTTGCTCCTGCTAGATTTGAGCTTTTTCGGGCTTTTACTTGCACGTTTCTGTCGCTGAAAACCAAATTAAAAACAAAAGCAATATAAAGCAAACAAATGGCAGGTTTACATAAATCCATTGTCACAAGTCCAGATAGTCCGTCAACTCAAAAATGGATGAGAAGACTGTTCAACAAGTCAACTTCATCCATGCAGCTGCCCCAATAGAGCAGCCGTTAAAGAACAACTTTGCCAGCAGTTTGTTGCAGATTTAAAATATCACTTGACCCAATGTGAGAACACTTACAGATGGTTTAGGAGATCTGGATCTTGAAGGAGATCTGCAAAAGTTCCAGAAACAACCAATTTAATATCCACACGTTCCTTTTAACAACTTTGATCCAACAGCCGTGCTGCCTCTTCCATGTGAGAGTTACCACAATCAAAATGCATAGAAGGAAAACCCACAAATGAATATAAGACTAAGTTAGGACAAAACTTTATAATGCTCATTTAAGGCACCAGTATACAGGATGCAAAGATAAAATCACCAGAGAATCCAGATAGCATATCCTAGTAGCTTGGCAATGTTAGAGAAAACCAATGACAGATGAACTGTTTCTACCGCAAATTGATGGTTGCTAGCACCTAGTTCACAGTCCAGCTTTACCATCGCAATCCATTTGTTCCCAATCTAGCACCCATGGACATTTGTGATGCTTAATGTAACAGAATGGAAGAACCATAAAGGTTACCAAAACTGCCCATCTAGAAAACATCATACCTCCACAACCAAAAGAGTTGCAGGCATTTGAACCATTTTCCATCAAGATCCTAATATGCAATCCCCAGATCGCCGCATATATCCATATCTAAAAAAGACAAACAAGGTGATTTCATATATGAAAAGGACAGAACAAAAACCATGACAATCCGTTATGTTCTCTAAATACCACATCTGCCTATCAGGCAAATCACAATATGGATCAAAGGATAAAAAGTACGACAAATAAGAACAAGAAGTCATACATAGACCCTTATTACTTTTAGTTTTAAGCTCACCCCACACAATGCCCTTGCAAAGTGGAAGTGTAGGAGCATGTTTGCCACTCAAAGAAATTGCACAAGAAACTAGGATTTAATATATAAACAACATACTCTGACCAATATGCAGATTCACTTAATAAAAGATAAGTTAAATTAGAAGTTCGCAAACTTGAAAGGAAGTAAATATATGTATTATAAGGTGAGGAAAAGAGTAGCATGGTTAACCCAGTCCAACGCCACCAGAATTTATAAAAAGGACAAAGTTCTATACTTCTATCCACCAATTTATTAGAGGATGAATGACCGTATGAGATGTAACAGGAACTAGATATAAAATTTCATGAATTCAAACTGACCCGCACTAACATATGATCCAAGTAATGTAATGATTGATATAAAATTCCATTTTTTTCAATAAATATTTTCAAGATAAAATTCTGAACAATAACAATACAAGCAACTTGTATTACAGATATTGAACTAGTTTTGTGCAAAGAGATAAACGAAGAGGAAAACTAAAAATGACTTAATATGGCTGCAAGCCAGGAGCAAATTGAAAAGCAAATAAGGATCCTGACACAATTCTTGTACATCTCACAACTATCTACCAGGATAGGTGACTGGCAAACACGACTGACAGGTTCAGGTTAAAATTGATTTTTTTTTTTTTTTAACCTGACAAGGAGGTTTAACATTGATTCACCATGAGCAATCCAATATGAAAAACAACTCCTATAATATAACAGAGGAAACTGAGTAAAACATGGTGAGTTGATGAACTATGAGACAAAAAGGATACAAAATCAAAGCCATTTACTGCATCGAGTGAGAGGACAAGTAAATGTGGCATGTTATAAGGAAGGAAAAAAAAATGCAACATGATAGTCCATTATGCTACACCAATGGATAAAAGAGCTACAGTTGACGGACCATTAGATTATACACACACAGACAAAAGAAGGAAAAAAAACACACACACAGCACAGCATACCCACTCTACAAAAAGCTTTCTAGTACAAAGACATTTATACAATTTACAAACTAGTATATTTGTCATTGTGTAGCTTCTGAACTGAACTTTCCACAGTAGTAATACAAGCCTTTAAAATTTCAAGATATGCAATTCCTACTGCAATAATACAATCATTTAATATTTCGAAATAAGCAATTCCTACTGCAATCTTAGCAATGACTCCTCTTTTTCTTCCATTATATCCTCTTATTTGTTCAGAAACGAAATATTTTCAACAGTGGATCCACCTTCAAGTGATGCAAAACTAAATGAAATAACTTCCATTTCCATACAACATGTTAAGGACTGCAACTAATCAGTACAAAAAATATCGTACATGCGAGAACATTACAGAAGTACATATATGTATATATATCCATCTTAACAAAAAAGATCGAAACTTCAAGCAACATATAGTTCTCACAGGTCAAACTAAAACAATGAACAATAAGACACACACACACACACACACAGAGAGAGAGAGAGAGAGAGAGAGAGAGAGAGAAAGTATACCTTGACAGAGACCGCGGCCTAGACCTAGAGCGAGAACGAGAAGCAGACCTCGATCGAGATGTAGGTGTGCGACGAGAAGCTTTGGCTTTTGGAGATTTGCTACACAATGATTCACAAAATTAACAAACCACCACCAATCAAAACACATATCAATAAATATTCTCAAATAACTTAACTAACCTCCTGCTCCTGCTTCTACTACGGCTGCGACTAGAGCTCCTGCCTCTTGAATAGGAACGGCTACGACTGCGGCTCCTAGAAAAGCTCCGGCTCCGCTTTGAATCATACTCCTTTACCTGTAGGTAGATCAAGCAGTAAACAGAATGCAGATAAAACATTAAGTATAATATTGTATATTCACACTAAAACATTAAATAATAGTAACAATAACAAAATTATAAATTCAAATCATACACGAACTATTCCCCGACTAAAAGCATTCCGAAACTCAGAATCATCAAGTTTCCTGATCTGTAGACAGAAAGGGAAAAAAAATATCACTTACACAAACCAAGCAGAAGATTGACCACTTCAAATCACTAAAGAACTCAATATTTCAGTCAATTCATTCATTCAGTCAAGTAAATAAAACAAAGAATAACTTACTGCATATTTCATGTCGTCATAGTTTGTGTAATCCACAACCCCAGTTGTGCCTGCAAGACAGCCATAATACAGACAATTATAAAATCTATTCTCAGAGAGACACTAGTCCAATTCCCTAATTCCAAATGCAAGGGCTTGCATAACAAAAAGGTCAACATAACGTAAAAACAAAACGTTTCGAGTACCAAACATTAACAGAAGCCCGAATCCAACTCATAAGAAGGAATGTGTACATCAAATCAGTGAAATCAATGTATAGCTTGGTGAATTTATCAAGGAAAAAAAAGTCAACGTAAGACAACAAACTGGACTTAAAATCAGCTAATATTCAACTCTGTTAAAATAGGCAATTCTCCAAAACTCTTCAACTGTTTGCAAGTTGAATCAATAATTCTGTACAATGCAAACGTTAATCATGTCAATATTGCCAATGATTCACACCATACAATCTGAAATGCAAGCATTCATAACAACATTAGGAAGTATGATACAAGATTCATTGGACCCAATTTGTTATTCTTTAGGTGCTCAAAATGTAAAATGGAAGTAATTTGAGACAAGCTTGTCTGGTCCGAGGGACACAATATGAATTCACCCATGATCCAACAAACAATTTTTCATGTTATCATGTATGGCATATCCAGTAATTTAGATGTACTGACTGTATACTACATCAAAAGTCAGAAAGTAAGGGAACCTTTATGCTCCATTTAATAGGAGGGATGGAAAAATGGATGAAGGGAGTGGGGGAGGGATGGATAAGGCACCATTAGGGAAGGGAAGGTGACTCTTTCACTTTGATTGAATGGAAGGGATAGTAGAAAGAATGGATGAGGTGACACCTTTCGTTGTTTGGTTGGAAGAAAGGGAATGTAAATGTCCATTCCAAATTATGATATACTATGAAAAAATATTGAATTTCTTGTCCCACAATTTCTTTTTCTAAGAACTTGTAAATCCGTTTGCTACTATTCTTTTAAACAAAATTTGAGTATTTAGTGAGGTTTAACAAAGTAATTTTTTAAATAATAGAAGGATAAAAATGTTATTCAATATACCATGGAGCAGTTTTCCTTTCTTTCCCTCCTCTTTTCCATCCAAGTTTGAAGGGATCAAAAAGCATGGGCCTCTCTTCCCTTCCTTCCAACCAAACGATGGAAGCATCTTTCATCCTTCATCCTTACTTCTTTCTAACCAAATAAAACAATAATTTCTAACCTTAAAGTCTACACCAATTCAACCATGATTCTAATACATTTTTCCATTTATAAATACTACAGCCAATTGTTGCTAACTAGGAAGCACGGACATGCCTAAAAGATCAAAGAATTCGTGTCGAACACAACCAAACACATGATGCACATGCCAAAACGACTTATCAGGAATTTTTTTCATTTCTCTAATTTTCGCACACACTGCGGGCTTAGCAGATTCGTATCCGACACGCATGTCACATTGTTAGGGAGTTTTAAGAAGGTTTTAAAAGGAAGATGGCTAAAGTGTAAATATTATGCTTTCTTTGAAAATTTTAAAAATATGGTGGTCATGACATAAAATAATTTAATTTTTTGGTTTACAAAGTAATTATTATTGTTGTTGTGGAGCAGATTCAATTGTGTAATTTTCTAGACGATAAACTAATTATTTTTATAGCTCTTTAATTATTATGATTTTTGAAGTTTTCATAGTTAGGTTGATGAAGAAATAACATTATTCTTAAAATATACAATCATGTATATAAAAAGACATATTTAATAGTAATCATGTCCCCGACCCGAGAGAGAGAGAGAGAAGAAAAAGAAAACAATCTAGTAACAAAGTGAGACCCATGCATTAAACAAATAACGAAGAACAAGCTTTAGAGAAACTCTCGAGGCTCTTTGAACATTGTGTGACAGCTCCAATTCTTAATATGATGCGACAGCTTTAATTCTAAATATGATGCCACTTTTGGCAGTAATTTCCTATAGTTTTTTACTTTTCTTCCACTTTTTCTTTCATTTTCTGCACAGACTGCACAACCTTGAATGGTCACTTTCAAGCCAATAGCCAAAGAAACACTGCTTTGATAAAACCTAATTGTTCCCTACCGCTTGTTACCATTGGTAAGCATCATATCATTCGCAGTCTCTAAATCACACCCGGCCCATCAAATCCACAAGTGAAATCCTACTTTAACAACCCCCACCCCAACACCCCGCCCACCCACCCACCCCCCCCAAAAAAAAAAAAAAAAGGTTTTTAATCCTTCAGCGCATCAAATTTTAGATTGGGGATGGTTCTAGATTTTCCTTGGTCACAGATCCATGGTGTCAACTGTCAAGGCCAGAACGTTATCTCTAAGTTTGGCCATAGGATTTGCAGAGAGCATGGCTTCCCTAAGAGAATCCTTCCACTTTCAACTGTCATTGACGACAGCAACTGAAGTCTCCCTAGGCAGAATTCTTCATTGATTAATCAATTGAGGAATTCTGTCCTATCTCTTCATATTCACAATGGTGCTGATATTATTGTTTAGAAGTATGGTTGTTTTTCTTTCAAGAGAGTTTGGGACCACTACAGAGTTCAGTCACCAAAAGTTAGATGGCTCAATGTTTGTTTAAGTAGTTGTAAGTAAACTCAAAGCTTCAGTCACATGTTGTCATGCTTTGCAGATCAAATTATCCTCTTGTGAGAATTTGAGGAAGAAGGTCTTGCAGCTTCCTTCAATTTGCTATAGTTGTTGGAATGCTATTGATGACCTCTATCATTTATTTGTCACTTATCCCCTTGCTTCATCTGTGTGGCTGTGGCGTTCAGACTTTCATGGAACATGCACCAGTACTACTTGTTGGAACAGTTGATGAACTGGTTTGTGTCAAATAAAATCAGGCATGAGGCCAAGGAGAAGGTTTTTGTGACTGTTTTATGGCAGTTTTGGTATGAGAGGAATATGAGGACGCATCAAAACACTTCAACAACATCTTCATAGGTTGCTAGATTGGTATGGCAAGAGATTTTGGAGCTATCTGATATGACCATGATATTTTGTGAGCTCTTTACCATGTTGGTAAAGGAGTATCCCCTCTTGTTGATTTATGCTTATGTTTTGTAGGGTTATAAGCCTTTTGGCTTGGCTTCTTTTCTTTTTCTAGCTTTTGCTTGTTTCCCAAGGGTATGCACTTGCTGGTGATAATATGTTTCCCCTTTACCCAGGAAAAAATAAGAAAAAGGAAAAAGAAAATAATCTAGTAACAAAGTGAGACCCGCGCATTAATTACGTGTCCCAAATATATATAGCGACTGGTCTTCCATAAGTAATATAAAAACTCCAAAACATCGAAAAGGAATTAAACATAATAAATGTTGAGGCCCAAAAATATCATAAGCCTATTTCTAGCTTTCATGAGTTCACTTAAGCTGACACATAAAAGCAACTAGTACAGACCTATAGCATCAACCAGAGCATCCAAATATCAAGTTTATTCAACACAAACTCAAATAAATTTATGCCATCCACAGAATTTTCTCAAATTTAGAGCTGACAACCACGTCACCCAACCAAAGGGCCCTTTTTCTATAATCTTGATGGGGTTGGCAGCTTCATGATTCCAACCAAACCCCCTGTTTGATACTACTAGCCATCCCCCATGTTTCAGAAATACCAAAATAACCTTTTAAACTAATTCAATTTAGAAAGAGTAATAGTATCATTATTTAAGTAATAACAAATAAAAATAGACCCCTCAAAAAGAAAAAGAAAGCACAAAAGCCAAAAGTTACTTAGGGCCAAATAACGGTGCTTTACCGATGATGCCCAACTACTTCAAGGCTGTGGTTATTTTCACATACTAAATGCTAACATGTATCCATTTAACAAATATCCACACTGAAAACTCCATATACAGCACAAGCTAGTATGTAATTATTCTCCAAATTCCCTTCCCTCCATCATATAGTAAAATCATGATAATGTACACTCTTGGAGCTAAAGCACATCATCTCTTGCCAAAGTACGAATCATAAATGGGAAAGTGCAAGAGTTTTTGTTAAATATCTTACCACTTTTATCACGGAAAACTTGAGAAAAACATACATCCCCTGCTCGGCGCATGTGGTCCTAGACAAAACACATGATATCAGCATGAGAAAGTCTATTATGAGGGTGCTCCCACTAAAGCTATGCCTTCTCTGTTGTTGGATCAAGAGACTGAAGTCAGACTCTCAATCCAATGACTTAGAGGGCACGAGATAAGTAAGAGCACCCTAATGATAGTTTTTATCTGTCAATTAATTAAAATGAACATAGAATGCCAATTTAAAGAAACAACGAGAATGTTCATAATTTTGTGTGATGGAGCAACATAGAATCTTTCATGCGACTCTTGCTTACCTTAAGGTCTTGCCATGACGCTGAAGAAGGCAATCCAGTAACTAACACTAAAAGACAAAAAAAAGTGAGATTACATAGTAGATAGGTAAAATAAATCCTAACAACACATTAAAGCATGCATGTTCATGTAAAACACAAACCACGATATTCAGAGCGCCTAGACACCCCACCACGGCTCCCTCGACCACTGTTATAACTATTGTGACGATCTATGGATGATGACTGTCCACGGCCACCATGTGCAAGCTCCACCTATGTAAACAAGAGGGCTAACAAAGTTTCTCAAATACTGACCAAAAAAATATAATTTAAGTCACGTAAGCCTTGCTTGTGTACTCTACCCTCAATCGATGCCCATCAAAATCATAGCCATCACGACCATCAATAGCAGCTTCGGCATCACGAGCCTCTTCAAACTGTATAAAGAAGTTAAAAGCATATAAGATATAAAAATGAATAAAAAGCATCATAAACAGCAGCGCTTAGCTCACCTCAACGAATGCATAACCAGGGGGTCTCGGCGGGATTTTCAGATCAATATGGGCTATCGGTCCATACTGCAATGTGAACACCTCAGCCAAATAAATAATATGAAGGACTTACAGATTAAAGCAACGTATAAAACCATGAAGTGGTCTTCTTTTTTTGTAACTCAATCTATTCATTTAGCACCCATAGATATCATTTCTAAAGGCAAACAATAGGTAGAAAAAATATAACCTGCCAAGTGCATTTAAATTTCAACTTATCCTTAGATAATTAAAGTAAAAAAAATTGATTCATGCATCCAACCTCTATACCTACAATGAAGAAAAAAGAAAGTGTCTTTTAATTCCATGCACTGAACTTTTTATAAACTGATGTTAATCCATCAACTGAATTCCTTAACTGCATATAGCCCAAATATTAAGTCAAGGTCATCCTATAAAATATATATTGCTACACATTTACATACGCAATTCTTTAAAGAAAAATAGGTATAACTCGATGGGACATGAAAAATACAGCAAATCATCAGCAATGCAATATCACTTCAAATTGAAACAAAAATGAGTGTAAAACTAAAATTGCCTTGTAGAATAGATCTTCTATTTCTCGCTCACGAATATCACCCGGAAGATTACCAACATAGAGAGTTCTACTTGAACGACTCATTGTTCCTGAAACAATCAATCTCAACAGTATCAGAAAGTAATCAAGATAAAAACAGAAATTAAAGTAAACATAAACAAAAATAAATAAAATGGTATGTCTGGGAAATCAACACCAGAATCAAAATAAAATTTAGCGAAAACCTGAAAAACAAAAATAAAACCGACAAAATCGAAAAGCAATCAAATCAAAACCTCAAGATGTAAGACCACACGCATTCATTAGTATAACAGTTCCGTAACATCATTGAAACGCTAAACACAGCAATTTCAAAAAAAAAAAAAAAAAAAAATGTTAAATTATTGATAAATTGACCTAGAAAAAGATGTAACAAGATTAGCGAAAAGATTTACTTAAATATAATGATTCCAATTCATGACCTTCTTTAGAAGCGTACATGTATAGCCAAGAGATTTACAAGAGTATATCTAAGGCGAAAAGATAACTTCACACATATTCACACACAACATCAGTGAAAAAAATAGAGAGACAAAGAGAATAAAATGAAATGAAAGGTGTCTGATTTTCAAAGTTCGAAACTGAAAGTTAGAAAATTTACCTTCGAATGGTTGAAGATCTCGCTCTGAGAGACGAAGCGAACTTCGAAGGTTAGGGTTTTGAGAGGCGATCGGGTAGGTTTACAAAGTGAACGAGAGAGATTTGTCTGTAATGTCATGCACGGTACTACATTGTACGCTTTAAATCTAGTGGTTGAAACTTTAACGGGTCGCAGTTGGTTTGGGCCAACCCGACCCAACCCTAGATTGCCCCTAGGGCTGCAAATGAACAACCATTCTCGACTCGTTTATTTATTAGTAAGTTCGAACTAATTTTTTAGATTTGTTTAATAAACAAACCAAAGTTGAATAATGTTAAGTTCAATTCGTGAGTTCATGAATGCACGTGGTGAGTAATCATTAATAAATATAAAAAATTATAATCATAATAGTACAACCTTATATATAATAATATTAATAATAATGATGCTCATGTTATTAAAAATCATATAAAATTGTAAAAAAAAAAATATCAAGTAATTAAAATAAAAATAATTACAACATATATAAACACAAATTTTATAAAATTTAGGTCCACAACAATTACTTAAAATAGATAATACTCTAATGAAAAATTTAAATAATGAGGAGTTGGTGTTGAATAAAACTTTTTATTTATAAGTAGAGTTTAAAAAAAAAATTAAAAAAAAAAAATTATAACCAACCGACCTATGGTCTAGCGGTATTAGGTCCCCACTTTCCAAAAGGAAGTTAGGGTTCGAACCTCAGTGGAGATATGTGTGTGTGAGTTTTTCCAACTAGGAAAAAAAAAATTATAAAAAAACAAAAAAATATATGTGTTTGTAAACTCTTTGGTGATTTTGTCAAGATTGAACAGGCATTCTCTCCACAATTGATGGATACTTTCTTTCAAAGAATTATGGTAAAACGCCCAAGGCCCAACTTTGTCTATTCTTAATTTTGGTATATACGTTTGTATTACTTCAATTAAAAGCATTCTTTCCATTTATGAATTATAGTAAAAGTCTCTATTTCTTAACATTTTGATTTTTTTAAAAAGAATAATGATTTAAGACCCACCATTTCGTGAAATTATAGAGTATCCTAGGTACCACGTCACTGAGCAGACATGGTAGCCTCCATCCAATTAAAACTTCCCATTTGTAAGTAATTAAAAAAAACATCATGTCATACCAATTTTCTCACAAAGAGACTGCAATAAACGGAGGGTTAACTCCGTCTGAAATTTTGAAATTCCCTCTAGTTTTTTCCTACTCAAAATTCTAAATGAAAAAATCAAATTAAGATTTACATGAATAATGAGTTTTTCTTCGAAAGGTAAAGAGGGTCTGATTTGTATTGAATCAAGTTATAGGAGAGAGTTTCGAAAGGTGGAATGTAAAATAAGTTCGAAGACCTCATCGTACCAATGTTTGGAAATTGAATTCACAAAAAAGTAGTAGAAGGTGTGGAACAATTGGCGAGTCTTTGGGATGAGAACAAATTCCAACGCTTCTTGTTCGGATTATTAAGGATTTAGGGTTTTGAAAGCTCTAAAGGGAATAACAACGAATCCGTTGGTTAAAAGTTACTAAGAAATTCAAACTGTGAAACTGCGATGGAATAATGCGTGGCAAAGTTGGATTTGATTCGAACTGTTTGAGTTTAAGATCCATCAAATGTTGTAATTCTCTAATATTTATTGAAAAGAAAAAAAATATTTCGTATTACTCTGGTGTGTGAGTGCATTCATTCATAGTAGAAGAGATCATCGATTTTATACAAACTTTTACTGGCACTTTTAGGGTACACCAGAATACTCATAATCGACGAAATGGAGCAGCAATCTCTTGGCCTCTTCCAATTCTCTCCCGATGCATGTTCAAGCTTGCTCTGACATCTCTGTTGTAGAACCTAGCGAAAGGTATTCAAAACCTATCACCAGTTTCATTTCTTTATTGTTTACAATTCTTCAATATCTATATATACATTGTGAATTGTAGTTCTTTTATAACCATAGCATTCCTTTCTTGACATTGTTGGCCACTACTCGGGTTTTAACTAGTGATTCTTGAATATATAAACAATTGACTTATTCCTTTCTCGACATTCTTTGCAGCTCTTAGAGTGAACTAATTTGTAGTCAACTTTCTTCAGTAATAAAGCAATTTAATGTAAAGCCATAGTTTATTCAAACATTTCAAATAATTCCCAAAAATCAGTTATAAGTTCGTGCAGCCAACAACTCAGGTCATAACACATATATACATGTATAACTTAGACATTTTTTTTCCCAAAATGAAGCATAAGAAATCTTGGTACAGGGCATGCTTGTTAAATATGTGAACAGAACATCTGGACAGAATAGATCAAATTTGCTAATTAGAAATTGATAGCTTGACTCTTAGTTTAGTTTTGCTTTTGATGTATATATGATGATCTATAGGTTATGTTATGGTAGATGGGTCAACACAGTTTTGGATTTGAAGAATATATTCTCCTTAATATAAAATGAATAAAGAATTTGTCGTAGGTCTTTTGGTGTCCTATGTGTATTACGAAATGGATGATATTTTGGTTTTGGCATTGCATATTAAATCAGTAATTTCTGAAGTATATGGAATCTTTAATGTAAACATACTATTGAGTTAGTTTTTTTGTAATTGTGGGCATACAAGTCAAAAAGGCTAGGTGTTTCTAGTTCAACTCAAACATTTCTAGTTCAACTCAAATACGTTGCGAAAATTAGATGATGCATGAGTATTTTCTTACATTGCAAAGCTTTTAATTGGTTATGGCACCACTCTGGTTAGTTTTTATTATGTTTGCCTATTGTTTGACATTTTGTTCTTATCTTTGATAGGTAATTGTTTTGGAGCTAGACTTGCAAAAAATTAACTTCAAGGTGTCTCAAATTGGATCTTTGCCCACTTTTTGACTCTCAACCAGGACTATATAGCCTTTTTATTTGTCTTATTTCACCACAAGACAAACTCATTCATGATTTAACTACAAGATTTTTTTTTGTATCCATATGTTAAATTGCTTGTTTTTTTTTTTTTTTTTTTTTTTTGTTCCAAGCTTTCTCTTTGCTAATCCTATTTTTATTGTCATTTTTTTTCCTTTTTTTTTTGGAGGACATGTACTAAAAATATATTTCAGTGCTAAATAGCACTGGTCTTTGCAAGAAATCGCTTTACAAGGTCAATATAAATGTGGTTTCAGAAGTTTTGAAAAGTCAATTTTATATTTATAAAACCATTACTACTATGTAGCATAGTGAGTAGGGATCATCCACAGGGACTAGTGGATTGATTCAATTTCAGATTAGTGAACAAATGATTCAATAGAAAAGATAGGTTGTTTATAATTGTCATTAAACTAAACAAAATAATAAATGCAAATAAAAGAAAACATAAATGGATAACGGAAGGGAGATAGAAATACTTAAATCATGGACTCCACCTTTGGCCTTGTAATTATATCATTGCAATCAAATTAGGAAAAATACTTGTGCAATAATAGAATTGTGGCTACAAGCACACAATCATGGTCAAGAGAATATGTAAATTACATCAATAAGCATAACTCATCAAATCTAAGCATAAATTGTCTACCTACCTACTTCTACACTAGTGTTGTAGCACAACTCATCAAATCTACACTTGAACTATCAAATCAATTACAATTACATCAATTAAGCACCATTGTTTAACCATCACCCACACAACTACAAGAAGTGAAGATGTTAAGATCAATCAATCACAATCAATGGATAAGACAATGTTAAGATCATAGAAAGACTAATGGAAGAATTAAACATATAATTAATCTTGGTACAACCAAGTATAATTTGTAATGTTAAACAATCTACACAAATAATCCCTAAATTTAAAGACAAATAATACAATACTTGACTTAGGGCTTCATCCAAGTCCTAAGAGAAGAAATTGCTAGCCATAGAGATGACGAATATGAACATTGAATCTCCAGTCTCCATCTTCGAGCACAGCCCATGATCTTCAATGGTTGAGAGAGGGTTTCTAAAGAGAGAAAGTCTTCAAAGCTTAGCCTCTCATCAACTCTAATCAGTATCATCCTCCAAAGAAGGATTCATCCTTTACATATGCTTAGATTTGTGGCTCTAGGATAGTCAAAACTTGGCCAAGGATCTTACATTTCATGCCCCAGCCAAAGTTGGTTCGAAAAGAGCTTTAGATCTGCTTTTGTATAACTTTTGCGGTGAACTCGATCGATCAGGCTTAAGGCTTAATCGTTCAGGCTTAAGGTTCAATCGATTAGGCTCAAGGTTTGATCGGTCAGAAGGCTTATCGTTCAGCGATAAAGCTCGATCGATCAGAAGGTTCGATCGTTCAGGGATAAGGCTCGATCGTTCAGGATGAACAGTGAATTGTGCACTTTAGCCTTTTGTTTCTCCCACTCCTCGCCAAGACTCCGTTTGACCTTCCCAAGGGCTTTAAGTCATTGGATTTAGCTCGTTTAAGTCTTATAAACCTGAAATCATAAATATAACAAATGAAGACTAAAAAGGAAAAATAAAGATAGATCAAAGTTCTAATATATCCAAGGTTAAGGGCTGAAATGTGCATATTTCAGCACTTATCAGCTATTAATGAACTTTTGTACTTCAACTGAATAATACTGACGTGGCAATGGTTATGACATTTTTTTTTTCTTAAGAAAAGTTGTCCTAACATTAGAGTTGGGGTTTTAGAAGCTTGTGCTTTGAATGAGACTCTGGTGGTGTGCAATACAACTGTGAGAGTTGAATCTTGTCCTCTCATTATATAGGGCATTATATTAGATGTTTGGACATCTATGAAGCAGTCATTTCCATTTCATTTAATGATGTATATAGAACAGGTGGTGGCTCATTCCATTGCTATACTAGCTTGGTTGGATTATACGTTCTGAAGAACATTTTGTGTCTTGTGTCCTGATTGATTTATTGAAGGTTTTTTGTTTGCCAACAATAATCAAAAGAGACAGAAAATAATGTTTTATTCCCAATAATGAAAATGAGAATTGAGTAGTTGTTAACTCATGCCCTTTTATAACCATTCGAACAACAGATAGTTTAATCTTGTAATCTGAATGAGTTTATTAAAAAAATAATATTAAAATTTTCATACAATGTTTATACTAAAAACTTTA